TGGCAGTATATGTTGATGATATTGTGGTCACAAGGAATGATAGCCATGAGATTGAGTCCCTTAAACAGCTCCATCAAGAATTTGAGGTGAAAGACCTTGGTGTACTCCGGTATTTTTTGGGTATTGAGGTTGCTAGATCCAAACAGAAGATCTTTATCTCTCAGAGGAAATATGTCCTAAACCTGTTGATAGAAACTGGAAAGTTAGGTGTCAAGCCTGCAGATACACCAATTGAACAGAACCACAGGATTAGTGCAGAGAGTGGGGAGCTTCTTGAAGACAAAGTTATGTTCCAGCAGTTGGTAGGAAAGCTCCTATATCTATGCCTCACTCGGCTAGATATTACTTATGCTGTTAGTGTTGTCAGACAGTACATGCATTCTCCTAGAACCACACATCTTCTTGCGGTAGAAAGAATCTTAGCTTACTTGAAGAGATGCCCGGGTAGGGGTATACCGTTCAAGAACAACAACCACATGAAGGTGGAGGTCTATACGGATGCTGATTGGGCTGGGAGTGTTGATGACAGAAGGTCTACCTCAGAATATTGTGCTCTTGTGAGAGGAAACCTTGTCTCCTGGAGAAGTAAGAAACAAAGTGTTGTCACCCGGTCAAGTGCTGAAGCAGAATACAGGTCCATGGCCAACGGAGTGGCTGAAATCCTATGGCTAAGATCTCTACTTGAGGAGTTGGGTATTGAGTATGAGAAGCCCTTGATGCTGTATTGTGATAATCAAGCAGCCATTAATATAGCACATAATCCAGTGCAACATAACAGAACCAAACACATTGAAGTTGACTGCCATTTTGTACGAGAGAGGGTCTCATCTCAAGAAGTATGCCTCCCTTACATCACATCCAGTATGCAACTAGCAAACATCCTCACTAAAGCCATATCAAGAAAGAAGCTAGAAGCGGATCTATCCAAGTTGGGAATGATGAACATTTACTCCCAATTTGAAGGGGAGTGTAGAGAACATTGATGTGGACCCCACAGTTGTGGTCCCACTCTGTCCATAGGGTAGAATGTATCTAGTCATAGCTGATGGTCAATATTTTGTTATTCTAGTTGTCATTTATTTTTCAGTTTTATATTGTTATGTGTTATGATGTAAACACCAAGGGCAGATGTGTCCTTTCATGTAACTAGCATAACATATAAATATTAAATTGAAGTGGCGGCGGCAGAATATTGAGATTCTGTTCTTCTATCAAAACCTGTGTTCTACTGCTCTCTCATCACTCTTTCTCCTCTTTCTTTTTCACTTTCTCTTCTCTTCGAACCTGAAGTTTCTTAGTGATCAAGACTGATAGCAGTCTTGAACAACTACAATTACATATACTATTTTTCCCCGTTATGACGATTTAATGATTCAATATGAAATGATACTTTAAGCCACTAGAGCTTACTTTCAAGTATTATAGAAGAATTAAAAATCAAAACTGAAATACCTTTGCAATGCTTTTGACATCAAGTAATTAACAGAAAAAAAGGAAGGTAATTCTCCCACAAAGTAAGTAGACAGTGCTGCTTGTACTGATATTAGAAATAGTATTGGACCATATGAAAGTCGCCCTATTCACAGTTTCCTGTTCACTGCACCAGCATCAGAAGAAATTCCACCTAGTAGCTTGATTCCAAGCATGCAAATCTAGGAAGATGGGTGGAGCAGGGATAAGAGCATTGGGCCCATTGAACAAAGCCCTCTTTGGTAAGTGGCCATGGAGGTCTGGAGTGGAAAAGGAGCTATGGAAGAGGATGATTAGAAGCAAATATGGGTGTACTCACATAAAATGGGAAACAACACCTATTTTTAGAATCCTATGGATCCAGCATCTGGAGAAGAGTATTAAAAATTAAGGATTATTTTCTTTTTTCTGGCTACTTATATTTTAAGGTGGGGAATGGAGAGCACATTTGTTTCTGGTAGAACCCTTAGGGCAGATGGAGTCATGGTGACCTCTATGTGAAAGATTTCCCAACTTGTAAAATATGGCCTGTAACAAAGAAGACACTGGCAAGGAATGTAATGAGATTATATGCGACCAGGTAGTCTGGTCCCCTTGTTTGAGGCACAATTGGGAAAGCGGAGAGGATGCTGCAACTACTAATGAAACTCTGATTTTGGAATCATCTGTTTTCGGTGATTTCAGTGTCTTGGAAGGAGCAGCTGAGGAGTCTGTGGCTTGGGAATGGATTTGGAAAGGCTGGTATCCATCTAAGTGGTCCTTTTTATGTGAACAACCCTCTTACACAGAACCCTTAATATTGATCATCTTCTATCAAAAAAAGTGCAGGATGAGAATAGTAAGTGCTGCATGTGTGGCTTGACACCAGAATCTGTTGGCCATCTTCACTGTAATGTAGTTGTTGAAGTTTGGAATCATTTCCCCAAGCTTTTCAAGAAGCAGTCGGCAACATGTTAAATGCCTGGTCTCTTCACCAAGACATCAACCAAGGCTTTCAGTTGTAGAGGTAACATTTCGTGGAGAGTTCTCACGGCTATTTGCTGGTTGACATGGAAAAGAGTGTAACTTAATATTTAAATATCAAATCCTGATGGAAGGCAGCAGCTCATTTTTGTAGGCTCCTCAGGAATTGTAATCTGTTCCATTTTCTTTGATCTGGGGGTATTTCACTGATGCAGCAGCATGCACTTGGTTAAATCAGTTTGAGCCTCTTTGGAAAACCAAAAAGAATCTGACAGATTTGAAGAAAAGGAAGAAATGGTCTTAGAAAGGCTTTTGGCCTCATTCTTGTCTTGAAGGAAATTTACAGGAGAAGAATTGGTGAAAACTAAAAGTGGAATCTGATCTGCTTAGTTTTTGTTATTTTGAAATTACTATTTATAGTAACTCTCGGATTTACTATTTATAGTAATTCTCATAATTACTATTTTTATTAAACTCATGGTTGACTACTTCTAGTAATTTCTGATGTCTTTAAATTAAAGTGGTTTTAGTTGGATTAGGAAAGTGCTATTAGAGTTGTTTAGGAATTGAAGTCCTTATTTAAGTGTCCTAATGGGTCAGTTATGGATTTGTCTTAGTTCTAAAATAATTAGGAGTTTTGTTGGGTCAATTTCTTAGTCCAAATTGAAGTCTAAAAGGGGGCATCCGAGTTAGCAAGGGGGTTTGGGACAAAGGGGAAGACGATTGGGTTGAAGAGTGAAGGGGGTTTTGGAATTAAGTAGTTTAGGAGAGGAGGGAGGAAGGATTGTTGTGGCTATCTTGGGTGGGAAGGCCAATGGAATTGATAGAAGTTGGGGGCAACTGTGGGCAATTCCATTGCTGTTGGTTTATTTCCACCAGTGCTTCTCTCAGTGCCGAGAGAAGTTTTTGGTGTTTGTCCCTGGAAGGTGGTGGAATTCAAATTGTAACCTGGAAATTTTGATGCTCTGATTTCATTTCTAGTCACCCCTACACACAGTAATTTAAAAGGGGTGTGCCTAGGTGCACAGGCAAGGCGCATTTTAGGGTATGCGCCTCGTCTAGGTCCTAGACACAGCCCTTTCAAAAGGCACATGCCTGGTGCACCTAGGCGTGCACCCGATGCGTAGCACAAAGGTGGCTCATAGAATCAGGAATGTAATATGTTTTACATCACATTAGATACTTGAAGTAATGCATTTGAGGAAAAAAAGAGATTGTGGGTTTTACATGCTTGAAAATGTTTTATATGTTTGGTTTTATTTTTAAATTCTCATTTGAATATGCTTTACATGTTATGTTTATGTACTTTAATTTTAGATAATAGGTTTTTTAAAACATTTATTTTAAAACTTAAGTTTATATTTTTATTAATATTATGTTTATTTTTTTATTTTTGGCATTTTTTTGAATTTTATGACATATTTTTTATTTTTTTAGCATTTTTTTGTATTTTTGCGCCTTTCTTCAAAAAGGCACATGCCTCGCCTTGCGCGTTAGGCACAAATTGGCCCTTGTGCCTTTTTTTGCGCCTTGCGCTTTTATAACACTGCCCCCACAGCCCCTCATTCAGCCCACAAAGCCGCCACCATATCCTAACTTGATAGGACCCTAACCCGTCCTACATCATTCACCCTCCATATAATACAATTACTTTTACCATTTCCTATCAAATGAATTTGTCATCTTTAATTCTTGTTCAGACATCATATAACCTTAGTTTAAGTGTATTTGTGGCAGTCTAAAAAAGAATTTTTTTTATAAATAATAGATGAAAGATGGAAGCAAAAATAAAGATACCTTTACGGGTAAATTGTGAAATTTAGTGTCAACATCAAACACACGAAATCTGAAACACAAGATGCATAGATGAATAAGTAAAACAAAGAAGGCCAGAATAAACTAGAAAGAAATTCATATATAAGAAAGAAAGAATCTTACACCAAAGGCTGAATAATCTCAAACTGATAAGCAATAGGAACTTTTCCAATCCACACAGGATCAAGTGTGTTCAATATTACTTCTGTACGACCCAGCTCCTCAAGAGTTCCATTGCTTTTCTTTGTGTAAACTACAGCCATAGGATCACTCTGTAACACAAATGTTAATAGGAATAACAATGCAAGCAAGGAATAAATCCATTTGATACTGACATAGAGAAACAAAGCAGAAACAGCATGGAGCTTTGTTTTAAGGTTTCACTATTAACACTTAAAGATTGAAAGGTTTTGAGAAGAGAAAAAGAAACAACAATGCAACCAAGGGCAGCTAGTCACCTTGGTTGGCCCCCTTGCCTGAATGCTTTGACTTTTATAAAAAAGGCACCCATCTAAGTGGCTAGGTGCCCATCTAGGTGACAATAATCACAAGGTGAGCGCATTATTAATATTATAGTTATTACCATGGCTGCATCTTATTAGTATATGTTTTGATACATTCTATATGTGTTATATATATTACTTGCACTTTGTTTTAGGGTTTCACAATTAAAATTTATTTTTTTGATCAATAACAGAACCCTTTCATTAAAAGAAGTGAAATAGGTACAGAAACAGGGAGGGGTAACCTCTTTTACCTCTCCCCACAAAATACAAACAATGAAATTACAACATAGATCAGAACAATGACTTCTTCCAACCCCTTGCTATGAATGAGTTAGCACACCTTTTAACCCACTGCATCTCACTTCCGTTCCCTAAGCCAACCACTTGAAGTTTCTTCTTTCATTAATATACGACCACATACCATTGTCCTCCTTTTCTAGCCACCCTATTACCACTTTTGAGTCTCCTTCAATGATCAACCGGCTAATTTTTAGCTCTTTAGTTCTTCTTACACCCTCCAAAACAGCTATAATCTCAGCTCGAAGTGAATCCCCAACTCCAACGGAGCCTGAATTAAGAGCCTTGACTAACCTCCCTCACTCCTAAACACTCCCCCTATCCTTGAAGGTCTAGGGTTACTTTCTCTGCTACCATCGAAGTTCAATTTTATGAAACCTTCCATTGGTGGAGTCCACGTGGGACATGAGATACTCCTCCTGAGGGCTGAGGTTGCCACTTCCTTCCAGATATTCAGCAATGTCACTATTTAGATGTCATAAAAAAGAGCAAACGATTTCACCCAATGGAAAACCCTAGCAGTGATTACCTCAACAATTGTCTCTCTACTCTTCTCTTTTTCAGCAAATAATCTTTGATTCCTTTCCTCCCAAACTATCCAGCGAACAACAGCTCTTGTACATCTCCACAACACTTCCCCTCTTCTTTGTCCAGCTACTAGCAGAAGAGTCAAAAAGACCCTGCATAGTTGATGGAGTCCACCTACAACCAAACAAGGAAAAAAACCAAACCCAAATAGAGGAAGTAAAGGGCAGGGGATTAATAAGTGGTAAGAGGGCTCACCATCAGCTTTACATAAAATGCATCAGTTAGGAGACAAGCACCAAAAAGGCTTTTTCTTTTCAAGTAGATCACAAGTGTTTATTTTTTCCCAAGAAAACCTCCTAACAGAAGGCCCCAATCATTGGAGGAATCAATTTACCCCAAACTTCCTTAACAGGAAAAGGATGCCCTAAACTTTTTTTTGATAAGTAAATAAAAATTTTCATTAAAAAAGAAAAGGAAGAGTACAAATTAGTGGTGATGAGGCATCACCTACTTGCATCAAAAAGAGAAAACAAGATACCCAGATTCAATACAAATTTTCCAAATTACATATTTGAAGACCCAGCACTTCCCCTCTGTCTTCCCTTGAGCATTGACTGAATTCTGGGTGAACCAAAACCCAGTCCACCACTGATTTGCTTACTGCAGCTACTATCCTGTCCAAATTACAGCTTTTGTCATAACAAATTCTTCCATTCTTCTCCTTCCAAATGTTCCAACAAATTGCGAATGGGATGCAGCTCCAAACCACCTTCACCTTTTTGCTACCTCTTAACTTTAGCCATGTAGAAAAAAATTTCTGGGACTGAATTTGGATGAAAATCAGATACCCCAAACAAATCTGTGAACAATCTCCATGGAAAACTAGCAACTTGCATTCGAAAAACTAGCAATCTTGCATTCGAAAAACTAGCAATCTTGCATTCAAATGATCCACAGTCAGGACATTGTCCATAGCCACCAGCCATGCAAAAGCTTCTAAACTATCAGCAGGTTGAACTAAGGCATTAAAAAAAGAGGCACAGGTAAAGGCACCAGTAGAGGAAAGAGTCCAAATCTGAGAGTCTAACTTAGAAGGATCCAAGAAAACCCTTTGTAGAATTTGAAGCAGTGCCAAAACATTGTCCAAATCCAAGTCTCTAAATCCCCTTCTGGAACCTAAATCCCATTCAATCTCAAGACCCAAACTTGAAGAAGGTAAAAAAGTGGAAACAAGCTCATTTTTGTAGTTGGAAATGGCAAACAAAGAGGGGAATTGATCTATTAATGGTGAACTCCCCACCTAGACATGTTCCCAAAACTTTACCAGGTTTCCAAAACAAAGATTATACTTGATACAAGGAATGAAGGAAGAATGGCATGTATAGACTTCCAAGGGGCAGCAATAGTAACTCGAGCCTGGCCTCCCGCATCCTAGCCCTCAGTTGTCAGACCATGAATGCTAAGAATCACCTTTGCCCACAGTTTATCCTTGTCTATCGACAGCCTCCACAACCATTTCCCTATGAGAGCCATATTCCTCATCCGAATGTTCTGAATTCCTAGACCACCAAAATTCCTACTACTAACAACCTCCCAAATCTATAATCCTTTTTTTCTTTTGATGAGTAACTCTATGATCCTTTCTTTCCTCCCCTGATTCCCACAAAAAATCTCTAATTAATTTCTCTAGCCCACTGCAAACCTTTCTTAGAATTTTGAACACCAAAAGGAAGTAGACTAGTAGGTTAGCCAAAGTTGATTTGATTAGAGTACTTCGACCACCCAAAGATAAAGAGTTCCTTTTCCAAGAGGTTAGTCTCTGTGTAAATTTGTCCACTATAGGATTCCGAAGGCTTAATTTTCTCAGGTTATCACCTAAAGGTAACCCCAAGTAATTCATTGGCCACTGGGCAACTTCACAACCCAAAACTAATGCACAGTTCGACACCTCCCTTTCTTCCATGTTGACCCCCACTACACAACTCGTATTAAAATTGATTTTTAAATTTGACATATGTTCAAACAATTGCACCACCTTCCTCAAATTCCTAACCCAACTGATATCATCACCCTCACAAAATAGAATATTATCATTTGCAAACTGTAGATGGGTGAGGGGGACTATCCCTTCCCACTCTCCACCCTCTAACCAACTCTCTCGAGTCTGCTCTTTGGATTAGCTTCCCTAGTACATCAGTCACTAAGGTAAATAGGAAAGGGGAAAGGGAATCACCTTGTCTAATTCCTCTGATAGTTGGGAAGTGATCCACTACAGTCTCATTCTACCAATATAGAATAATGGCAAGATCTAATACATCCATGAATCCACTTGCACCACTTATCTCCAAACCCATAGTTCCTCAACATTTCCAACAAAAATCCCCAATCCACCAGGCCATAGGCCTTCTCCTGTTCTTCAGATCAAGTTTACAAATTAGGCCTTTTGTTCCACTTATCTTCATCTCCTCCACACTCTCATTAGCAATTAGGATTTGATCAATAATCTGCTTATTCTTATAACAAACACTCCTTGATTTGGGGAAATAATAGTAGGAAGCACAGATTTAATCCTCCAAGAAAGCACCTTCGCAATGATTTTATACAAGCTTCACAATTAAAATTTAAAGGATCGAAGAGTTTTGCGAAAAGAAAAAGAAAGAATAAAAGATAAAAGAGGCTTATTCTTATTAACTATGGAACATAAAATATAAAATAGAATATACACACACGCAAACCTTTTGAGAGATAACTTCTATTATCTCTCCTCTTTCTTTTTATTTACAATTGCACCCAAAACATTTGATCTCTCCCCACCCCTTGCTTTGCAAAATCGTCTACCATGCTATTGGCATCCCTCTATAGACCATACCCGTTTAATTCTCACTTCAATATATCAAGTCATCCACCTGAATTTTTTCTATTCCATTTCTATATGACCATAAGGCAGCTTCTCTACTCTGCAACCATCTTATTACCAAATTTGAGTAACCTTCAATTACTAATTTCTTCATATCCATATTTTTTGCTTGCTGCGCACCCTCCATTACAACCATGATCTCAGTCCTTAATGAGCCTCCCAACCCCAATCAGGCCTGAAAATAGTGCAACAACATGCCCATTCTCATTTCTGAACATACCACCCACTCATTACAACCCCAAATTCCCTATACTACTTCCATCAAAGTTCAGATTCATAAACCTTTTTCTAGTAGAGTCCACACTCTACATGTGGTCTGTTTTGATAATGTCCCAGCCACTTGAACAATTTATTTACTGCCAACCACGAGAACGTTTTTCCCAAAATTTTCTGAAATACTGTATTTGCGGCTCAGTTTGGAAAGAGTACAAATATGCATACGTACAGTACAAATACATACAAAATACAAGGTTTTGCACTCTACATATTTATATTTGTACTCCTTCCAAACTGAGCCTATAGAACAATGTTTATTCTTAAAAATCCCTGCACTCCTCTCCAGACAAATGCACCAAAAAACTTCTGCAGGAACAAGTTCCATGCCAGTTTTCCGCTCTTAGTGAGACCTTCGACACTCCAGCCCTTCACAAAATCCCTGGTTAGTATCCTGTTTGGATAGGCAGTCCACACAAAGAAAGCTACCTTTGAGGGCTCCTTTCATCAAACAATATTGATGGGGAAGAATTTTTCCTCCAGTCTGGAGATATGATTGTAGAAAAATTTGACCATGAATTCTCCAGATTTCTCCAACTCGCAGGTTCTTTAATCCTCTCTTCTGCTGTCCACTTGAGTATTATACAGTCTATGCAACAATTCTGCCAGTGAATCCACTTCCCAATCATAAAAATGTCTTCTAAAATGAGGCATCCACACCACATTTCCATTCTGCACCTGCATATATTCTACCACAAAGGCTTCCGTGTCCATTGCAAAGTCAAACAAAGCATTCTTCAAGAACTCCAGGCATGAAGTTTCTATTTCATTTTGCAAACATTCAGTCTAATAATATACTAAAGAATACCAAAACAGCATAAAAAATACCAACTATCAACAGCCAGAAAAGACAGTGTTTAATATAAGTAACTGCATGAAGAGCATTAGAAAACCAGAGGATGTTTAAGACATAGAAAACTAAAATATCAGACAGAATGGTGAATAATAGTTGATAGTGCACCGCCATAAACTATTAAATAGAGACCATAAGAGTTTTGTGTAGGCTAGGAAATAAGAAACATGCCTCAACCTGAACAATTAACACTTGGTGCCACCTGAAAGTGCACCCCACCAAACTAAGATAGCACTGTTAGTGAGTGCAACATACTAGGATAGAACCCTCACAAATTTTCATAGAAAATTAGAAATATTTGATAATCCAATCTTCCTAAGCTTCCTAATGGATAACCACATTAAGCCACAAACATGTCAATGCTACCAAACTCACAAATCCATGATAAAGAATAAGTGAATAAAAAATTCATGCACTCAATTTCTTATTCTTTTTTTTTTGGATAAGGAAAAAAATTATGGTAGTTAAAGATACTCAATGCAATTCTATAGGATCCTAGCAGCAACTGTATTGCAAATAGAAATTAATTAATATTTTCATGCAAGGAAAGGCGTACCTTTGAAAGGATATCAAGGTTACGTAATTTTGCAGCAGAAAATGATAACTGCAATGCAAAATTACACAGGTAAATGTGGTGGTGTCTTGTAACAAAGAAAATTGGATGACCAAAATAAAATTCACAGCAAACAGATACAAAAGAGAAAAAAAAAAAGATGCAAAAAAAAAAAACACATAAACCCTTCTGCTCATACATACAGAATTAGATATTCATATAACGATAAATGGGGATATATATATATATACTTCTAATTTTTCTAAGTATCCTTTCCAGATTAAGTCATGCCAAATAAAAAGGAAACTCAATATATTTATGGAACATCTTATAAGAATATTCCTTTTAGAACTACATGTAGTTATATACCATTTAAATCTATCTTTTGTCAACAAAAAAAATAGTCTATCATGAGTCTCAAGGAACCACTCAACCTAAAAACTTAAGCTGTTAGTGAGGTCCCTGAATAGGTTTTCATTCTCTAACATGCCCCCTCACACAAAAGCCTATCAAGCTTGAAGTGTGGACAAGAACAGGTCCACCCATACCTTGTTCTGAAATTTAATTAATTATAATGGGAATGACGAGGATTGAACAATAGACCACTTGGTCAAACAGGGTCATACAATCTCAATGAACCGTTCAACCTAAAATCTTAAACTGTTAGGTGAGGTCCCTGAATAGGTTTTTACTCTCTAACAATGAGTCAATGAGGAGGTCAGACAGAATAAAATTCTCATATACCCTTTTTTTGGCCAACAAACTAAACCCCAGTAATTTCAGATACCTTGTCCTTTAATAAGGAGTTTATCTTAAAATCTCTACCTTAATGAAAATATAAGAGCGTCAGACCTCAAATAGGTAACATGGGATCCACAAGTCCCTTAGCAAGGAGACTCAATTCATTCTTATTGTCATGGTTGCTCTCCTACTCTACCCAACCAAGAGAGTGTAGATTCTGCTCACCACCAAAGTGGATATTGTCTAGAAAGCCTCTAAGGTGAAGGTGAAAACTTGAAAAAAGTTATGGCTTTAAGTTTCTTGTTTTCACCAGTGACAGGTCAATGGTATTTGGAGAAAACAACAATGCCCCAAGTGGAAAAAAATACACTATATACCCGTAGGATGTAGAGAGAGAGAGAGAGAGAAATAGGAGATTGTTTGAAAAAAAATATAGAAGGATTGAAAGAATCATGGCAGATATATGCAAAATGGTTATGCTTGGTTGTTTTTCTACCAGATTTTGCTCAGACAAGCAGATCAGAGTTTGGAGAGAGCTTTTGAGAAAACTATTGAAAATCCAAATTCTGTACCTTTGAGTGTATTTATAGTTAAGATGTAACTAGGTGTTACCTTTTTACAATCATAAAGAAAGTTGTACATGATAGTTCATAGTAGGATTATAGACTATAGATGCCTGAGATTTACAAGCAAAATAAGCAAAGAGACTTGCTGATTCTGCTGCCTATGTATATATGTACAAAAACTATATATAGAAATTTCTTTAATAATGCCTGAAGATGATTCAGATGAAACTGTTTGATCCATGACAGCATACTGGATTGTTGCTTCATGAAAAGAAACACAACATATCCAGTAATAGAAGGTACCCAGTAAATAAATTCTCACACATTCCCTTTCTATTTAGGTTGTCTTCATGGGAATTAGCTGATAGTAGAATCTGAAAACCTAGAAGAAAAGAGATGGACGTGGAAGAGAAGAAGAGAAGAGGAAGAAGAAAGAGAGAAGAAAAATTGCCTGAAGATGATTCAGATGAAACTGTTTGATCCATGACAGTATTGTTGCTTCATGAAAAGAAACACAACAAATCCAGTAGTAGCAGGTACCCAGTAAATAAATTCTCACCCATTCCCCTTCTACTTAGGTTGTCTTTATGAGAATTAGCTGATAGTAGAATCTAAAAACCTAGAAGAAAAGAGATGGAAGTGGGAGAGAAGAAGAGAAGAGAAGAGAGGAAGAAGAAAGAGAGAAGAAAAATTGAAAAGGTGTTATATTATTAGGGTGAAAGAGACAAAAGAAAGCCCTTGCACATAACAGAATTACAACACTCCCCCTCAAGTTGGGTGATATATATCATCATGCCCAACTTGTCATATAACTTATTGTGCCGTAGGTCATGAAGACCTTTTGTAACAATGTCTGCAAGTTGCTCCTTGGAACTGATATAAGGAGTACAAAGTTCACCCTTTTCAAGATTTTCTCTTTTAAAATGCTTATCAACTTCAATATGCGTAGTTCTGTCATGAAGAACTGGGTTGGCAGCAAGATTTTTAGTTATGTTGTTGTCACAATAAAGGGACATTGAGCTGTCAACAAAGAAGCCCAATTCACTAATTGGACTTTTTACCTAAAGCAATTCAGATTTCAGCAACCCCATGAGTCATGGCCCTATACTTGACTGCAGCACTGAATCTGGCCAGAACACTCTGTTTCTTGCTCCTCCGAATGACTAAATTTTCACCAACACAGGTGGAGTACCAGCTAGTGGACTTCCCACCATCAACTGACCCTGCCCAATGAACATCAGTTTAAACTTCAGATTTCATATGGCCATGCTTCTTGAACAATATACCAGTCCCTGGATATTTTTTTAGATATCTGAAGACCCTCTCTGCAGCTTCCAGATGTGAAGTCCTAAGAGCCAAATCATTGACAAGTAGAGAAACCTACCCACTTACCTCTGAAACTTCTTGACATCTTCCACAGGTTCTCCAAGACAATCACCCTATCTATGATTAGCATCAATGGGGGAACTTGCTGGCTTACACCTAGTTTGTCAATATCCTATAAGAGATCTAGGATGTACTTCCTTTGAGAAATGAAGATGCCCTTTTGTGAATGGGCCACCTCAATTCCAAGAAAGTACCATAGAAGTCCTAGATCCTTAACTTCAAACCGCATAGCAAGGGATTCTTTCATCTTCTGAATTTTAAAACTCTAGTTCGCAGTGATCACTATATCATCCACATACACAATTAGGGCTACAACTTTCTCGTGTTCCCTCTTGACAAAGAATGTAAGATTTGACTGACACAACTTGGACCCAATTTGTTGAAGGGCCAAGTGAAATATACTAAACCAAGCCCTTGGAGATTGTTTCAACCCACATAGGGATTTTGTCAACCTGTAGACCTTCCCTTCATTCCCTTTTTGCTAAGAATCCATAAGAATCCCGAGGGTTGAATCATATAAACTTCCTCTTCCTAGTCTCCATTTAGGAAAGCATTTTTAATATCAAACTGATAGAGCTCCCAATCAAAGTTAGTGACTAATGATAGAAGAATCCGGATAGAATTAGCAATTGGAGCAAAAGTCTATGAATAATCAACCCCATACACGTGTGTTAGTCTTTTAAAAGGTGCACCTAGGCGCAGAGGGGAGGCGCTTTCTAGGCTAGATTCCTCACCCAGGCTAAGGCACACAACCATTGGACAGGCGCTCGCCTTTGCACCTAGGCATGCGCCTCAAGCCAAGCGGTAGGCGAGCGCCTGGATGATGTCTAAAGACTCCAAACATAGTTGTCAAGGCGACGCCTAGGCAACAAGGCACCCTTGGAGGCTCACCTCGCTCAATCGCCAAGCAGTTTTGCATATTGTGTAATAAAATACTTTTATATTGTTATTTTTTTAGATTATAATTATAAAGTAGACATTATTAAAGAAAAATATTCATTTTTTTGTTTATAATTTCTTTTTATTATTTTCTTATTTGTTAGGGTTTAATCAACACAAACATTGCTAATTGTTGTATGGAACCCTCGATGACTTCAAAATCTGAACCAATAAGTAAGGGAAGAACTTAAAATTTTGTCAAATCAACACATTTCTTCTTCTTCTTCTTGACTTAAACATGAAGTTTATAATTTTCTTATGAAAATTATGGATAATTATTAAAGAAAGTTGGTTATGGAACCTAGGGAACTACCCTAGGATATGTGATTTTTACTTAAAAAAAAAAATCCATCGCCTAGGCAACACCTAGGCGCCCCCATATCACCTAGACTCACCTTGGCACCTTGAAAACTATCGCCTAGGCAACACCTAGGTTCCACCCCCTTTTTTTTCAGTTTTCCCAGTAAAATAGGGTCTCCACCCTTTCTCTTCTTCTTCTTCTTCTTTCTACAAAGACTTGCAGACTTGCAATCTTGTTTCTTGCACAAAAACAAGGGCTCCAACCCATTTATTTTTTCAGTTTTTCTCATTAAAACAGGGGTTCCGCCCCATTGTTTTTTCAATTTTTCTCATTAAACTGATGGCAATGAAGATGAAGTTGAATTTCCAAGTGAAGATGAAGAGGATGCTGATTGAGTCTTGAAGAATGGCTGAAACCTTAGACTCTTTTTTTTATATAGAAAATCGTCTATGACTTTTGTTTTGTAGAAAATTGTCTCTGACTCATTTTTTGGGCAGAAAATTGTCTGACTCTGATTTTTTGTAAGAAAACTATCTATGACTCTATGACTCTATGACTATGGCTATATGTCTTTTTTTGAAAGAAAATTGTCTTTGTCTCTTTTTTTAAAAGAAAATTGCCTGTGGCATGACTCTAGCTCTATGCGATTGTTCATTGTATTGCATTAATGGCTTGCAGCTTGCTTGAAGTCTTGAACTTAATGTTGATTGATGAGTACTTGAGAACTTGATCATTTCATAATTTTGTTGTTATTTGACATATTAATAGGTTGTCTGTTAATCATTTAATTTAATTTAAAGTTTAGGAATATATTTTTTAATTATACCCTTCAATTTTTTCTTTTTATTTATTTTTCAAAAAACCATGTGCCTCACCTTGCGCCTTGTGCAAAATGGCCTTATATCTCTTCACCATATCCTCAGCTTTTAAAACACTGATGTGTGTATTCTTTTGCAACTAACCTGACCTTATATCTCTTCACCGTATCCTCAGCTTTATGTTTCACAGTAAACACCCACTGGCTCTTTTCCTTCGGGAAGATTTACCAACTCCAATGTATTATTTTTATGAAGAGCACTACTACTACTACTTTTTCTTTTCTTCTTTTCCTACAACTA